TTTTTTTATTATATTTATTTAATGTCATATATTATATAATTATAAATTTATCATTTTAAGTGATACTATTTTTTTATTAAATTTTCAAAATTTAAAGGTTATATTAATATCAACTATTTTAAAATTAAATCATAATAAATCACATAAATTTTTTTTAATGTCTACTACTTTATTTATTAAATTTAAATTTAAGATTTTATTTAAATAATATTTCTACCCAAATGTATGACTTTATTTAATTCAAAAAATTAAATGATCAAATAAATCAAAAATCTCACTCAAATATAAATTTTTTTTAATGTCTACTACTTTATTTATTAAATTTAAATTTAAGATTTTATTTAAATAATATTTCTACCCAAATGTATGACTTTATTTTATTTAAATTTTATTTAAATCAAAAAATTGAATGATCAAATAAGTCAAAAATCTAACCCAAATGTCAAATCCCTTGCCATATAAGCATGACATGGCAATATTTTGCCATCCAAGCAGCCAAGCGACTGTGTCCTAAACGGCAGTTAAGTTGGCATAAGAAGAGGGGCTTAATTGCTTTGATCGCAGAGTGCAAGGGCTTATATGCATCAATTAAAGTTTAGGGGGTTAATAGCGATTCTGGGGTTAGTTCAGGGGCTTAACTTATGGTTTTGCCATTTTAATATAAAAATTTTAATTTTATAAGTTAAGCGAAGCTGATTTTTAGTCAAGTTTTTCAAATATTAATTTCAAAAGAAACTTCAACCAATCATTCTTCTTTGTCCAGACTAGGTTTAAAAGTATATGTACAGCGAAGAATTGATGGTAGTGAAGAGCAAAAGTAAAAGCTGAGCTGCTACCTCTGCCCGGGTCGGAGGTCCCATCCCTGGCAGATGGCGTACCAATTTGTATCTGCAAAAGTCCTGCATTCAGAATTCTGATGCAATTCATTTCTTTCCCAGCCTGCCCTACTCAAAATTTGGAGTTTTGTTGGTTGACAGCCACGTGCTCTAACAGAGGGCAACAAATTCATAACCATAATTGCACTGGAGAAAACTTTTACCGAGGTGACCCCTCAGAGTTATCGGTATGGTTGTTTTCTTTTTTTTGGTGAACGAGTTGTTGGTATGTACGAATGGTTCACGAGGGAACATTAGAACTGACAAATAAATGAGTTGTAATTTTTTTTAAAGAGGGCCATTGGTGCATATTAATGGTACCTGAAAAATAAGAAAAGGGATGTCACAGAGTTGGGACATGTAACTAGTGATTATAGCAAGTAAGTCGGAATCTGGGGATCATAAGTGAGGTATCCTCAAAAAATCAAAGAGAGGATAAATGGAGTAACAGAAGGATTAAGTAAAACTAATCTGAAAATTTGGCTTAAAATATCTATAAGACATTTCAACAACCAACTGACGGGCACCAAAATAAGATAATAGGCGGAAGCTACTATACCATTTGATCAAGTATTGATAATTAGTATAATTAGTAAAATTTAATTAAATAATCATAAAATTAAAAAATCAACAAATAAATAATGAGTAGATACTAAAGATAAATAACTCCACCATGGGTAGAGTAAAATCAGAGCTATATCTGTAGGAACAACTGGAGGAAAAGAAA